GGACAATTTGGACCTTTTCCCTAGAAAAAGTATATTGTTCATCTCATAGTTAGAGTTATTTCTGTTATAAAATAAAATAAAGACCCCCAAAATACATTTAGACACAAAAATCAAAAACTAAAGTCTTAATAATGAATCCCTAAAGCCAAACCAATCTATGCACCCAAAAATTGAAAAAAATAGAACATGAAAATTAAAAAAACACAAAAGTAAAAGGGAACAAACACTTCCTTTTCAATTTGTTCCAGGAAACAAAAGAGAACAAATACCTCCTTTAAGCTCTACGAAAGGGGGAGAAAGCAAACCGAGAACCAATAATAATAAACAACCATATTAGAGAGAGAGAGGGGGGCCAGTCTTACCGTCGATAAAGGAAGAGGCGTCGTCCTTGTCCGTCGATAGGAAAGCGAGACTGAGAATGGGAGTCGAGAGACGCAGAGAAGAGAGGTGGAACAGAGCAGTCTCTAAAGAGAGATTACAAATAAAGAGGCTCGATATAAACTAAGTCTGAAAAATCAAATAGAAAAGAAGACCTAACCCTAAAATTTAAGTCCGGTATTTACATATGTTCATATAATTTCGAATTTAAGGTCGGATTAGATTACAATTATACCAATCCGATTCCGATTCATATATCCGAACTTTTAAAAAATATAACTCATATCTGATCCAAATGAAATCCAAAAAATTGAATAGAGTGGATCGGTTCAGATTCTCGGTCCGTTCCAAATGCACAACCCTAACAAGTGTATGAACTTTAATAGCTAATTGTAATTTATTTTGTGATAGTATAATAATAATCTTTTATTAAGAATCTTAATCGTATCCAACTAAAGACCCGATATCAAAAAAATGAGAGGCAATAGAAAGCTAATAAGCTTTTTTAAATAGAAACCGTCATTTAGATACAATAAAACCATTAAGTTAGCAAATTTTATATGTTTACAAGAAGCTCAATAGCAAGGTTGTCTTATAATCACTACTGGCCTTTTGTTTCAAACTTCCAAAACAAGCAAAAGTTTAAGTTGTCGATTAATAAGCAATTTAAAGTTCATCTCAACAAAATATCAGGTCAATCACATCATTAAGCATTTTACATTTCAAGAGAGAAATAAGAAACGAGCTAAAAAAAATAGGTAAAGAAACTTAAAATTATCAAAAACATCAATCCAATAATTTCACAATATTGGAGCTGAAAGTAGAATTCTTTGTGTATCTTACGGGAATGTACCAAAAAGATACTATTCACTAACAACTCGCTTTTTTAGTCATGTTACAAAAATAGCCAAAAAAAATAATCAATGATACAACATTCAAAAAATATTGGCAAAAAAAGATTTTTTCAATGGGGTATTATTGCGATTCGTTGAAAACACATAAACGAGGCAATATACAAATTTTGACGAAGTTTGAAGGTGACTTAAACTAGTTTGGAGTCAAAATTCATTACCAATGATATACAATATTTAAAAAATTAGGCAAAAAAGAATTTTTTAATTGGGTTGGTTGGAATTCGTTGAAAACATATAGATGATGCAATATACAATATTTGAGCAAAATGGGAGGTGATTTGGACTGGTTTGATATCAAAATTCGTAGTTAAAATCGAGCTAAAAAAATTCTTTTGCGACACATATATCAAACTTGTATCATGCATGTATCTTGCACACAAGTATACATAGATATACATGTGATACACATTTGACACATATGTGATATACAAATGATACACACATCATCTTTTTCCACGTTCATCTTCTACTTCGAATATTCAATTTAAATCACCTCAAAACTCACCAAATCATCCCAAAACTGATATCCAAACACCTTAAGATGTACCCAATCTATTCCAACAGCACCCACTAAAAAAAGCAAAAAATTGACCTTTTTTTAGCTACAAATAAATAATTAGCTAATATTGATCGATTTTTATACTAATTTACTTATAAGCAGGCATAACTCGTAATTGAGTAATCTACACGGTATGCCCACTGAAAATGCTAGTTAACTCCATATACCTTTGAAATATATATTTTACCTTGTATACCTATTTTATAAAAGTTTATTACTTTTTAAAATTTTAATATTATTATATGCCATTAAATAAATCCCACATTTAAGGAACTAAGTTATCTCTCATTCCAACTCAATAAATCCCTTAAAACACTCCATCATCCTACCTTTTAAGGAATTGGAATTATACATGTTCACCAAAAAGTCCACCCCAGAAATTTCTCTATGAAGTCCTTTTCATCCATGTAATCAAAAGAAAAACAAAATAAGGTGACAATGTTCTAATTTGGGATATAATATATAAACTAAAATAAAATATTAGAATATGTTATTCAAACTAATACACCACAATATCCTAATGAAAAATACATTATTCAAATCAAACAACGATGATAATCCAATTTGGAATATTTAAATCAAACATAACACAATATTCTAATTTGGAATACAATATTCAAATCAAACATACCACAATATTCTAATTTGGAATACAGTATTCAAACCAGATTTTTTCAAATTAAAAAATTATAGAATAATATTTGGTTTGTATATTGTATTCCAAATTAAAATATTATTTGAGTATTGTATTCCAAATTAGAATAATATAGTATGTTCTGTTTGAATACTGTATTCCAAATTAGAATATTATGATATATTTCGTTTGAATGTTGTATTCCAAATTAAAATATTATAGTATTTGAACAATATATTATAAATTAAAATATTATGGTATATTTAGTTTGAATAATATATTCTAAAATAGAATACTGTGATATGCTTGGTTTAGATAACGTACTTGTTATTAGAATATTGTGAATATTCGATTTGAATTATATTTCAAATTAGAATATTGTGGTATGTTCAAAATATATGGGAAGATTTGAAAGTATAGAGCATACAATATCAAAAATGAAGTTCTGATGGAAAATAAGAATATGGTTTAATTAGGGGAGATGTGAATCTCAAAATTTCTTGAGTACAAATTTCAATAATTAAGGCTATATTTAAGGGATATTATCCCCTTATTAATAGTGGTTGTTAGGGGTGTCAATGGATATTCGAAAACCGACTAAACCGACCGAACCGATTTTTAGGTTTGTTTTTAAGAAACCGTAGGTTTTTATATAATTTTATAACCGCACAGATAACTAGGGTAGATTTTTTATTTTATAAAATAAACCGAAAAAATACCGAACTGTACCGAATAAATTTTACATGTGAAAAATATATTTATCTAGTAAGTTTAAAATAATAATACATTAAATTTTTCTTTGGGCCTTGGAATTATGAAAACCATTACAAGCCAACAAGTAATTAAACTCAAAATACTAATTCCTAAAACCTATTATGCTACTTCTACTTAAACTAAGTTATTTCAAGTATCTTTATTAGCAAGACACAAAGTATTTTAGCGATTATGAGTAGTAAAATACATGTATTGAATATGTTTCCTTTCATATAATTTAGATTTATCTTTTTGAATATTTCATCTTCTATAGACTTTATTCTTGAGTCCCAGCTTGGTTAATATCTTTCAACTCGAGTGATTTATATTTTTTTGCCTTTATTTGGTTTCTTTTACGTTGTTGTAGAATAGTTGATGGATCTATACTCTAGCCATATTTTATTTTATTTTTAATTCATCACCTTTTAAACAGTAAAAATGTCTAGAGAGTTTTGCTAAGTCCTATAAAAGAACGTATGTTATTGCATCTTATTTCTACTGGTGAATTTTACATGATATTTAAAAAAATACCGAAAATTAACCGAATCGTACCGATACCGAAGAGAAACCGACATGATTGGAACGGTTTCGAAAAGTCTAATTTTGGTTATACATAATAGAATAACCAAAAAATTGGTATGGTATAAATTTTATAAAATAACCGGCCGAACCGGACCATTGACACCCCTAGTGGTTGTTACACACATAAGATTCTCTATCAAGATATACGATGTAATTTCTTTATAGGTATACAGTGTAACTTTCATAATTAAGGCATAGTGAGTAAAGAGATTTATAGAGGGGTATACGGTATTAAAACGCCAAAATTTCACGGTATAGCCAGTTTTCGGACTGGTCAATCAAAAATAGCCAGCGTTTACCAAGTCAATGAAAAATAGCCACCGTTTTGCTGCAATAGAGACCGGTCCAGCATAATATACTGGAGTTCGGTGCACTTGTGTATGAACTCCAGCATATTATGCTGGACCGGTATACTTTGCTGGCTCCAGTATAATATACTGGAGACTGGAGCACTGGTGCTCCAAACTCTAGTATATTATACTGGACCATTATACTTGCTGGAACTTCAGTATATTATGCTGGAGTTCTAGTGTATTTATGCTGGAACTCCATCATATTATGCTGGAGTTCCAGCATATATCCTGGAACTCCAGTATAATATGCTGGAGTTCAAGTATACTTATGCTGGAACTCCAGCATAATATACTGGAGTATTTTTCGGGTTTTGAACAGTGTTTTCGCTCAGATTTATCTTTACATAAAAAGTGGCTAAATTTCGATTACTTTTGAAATTGAGCTATTTTTAAACGACCAGTTGTAAATCTAACTATTTTTAAAAATATCCCTATTAAAACCCCCTGGTAATTTCCCTTCTTGGCCTACTTTGCTTGATTAGTCGAATCACAGCTACCCAAGACCCAACGGGCAAACAAGGGAACATAGCCTAGCCCAGTTCAGACTCCAGATACAATAATTAGCCCAAAGGAAAGGAAAAAAAAGAAAAAAAGAAAAAGAAAAAGAAAAGAAAAAGGCAATGAAGATGCAACCGTACCGCAGAGTAGAAGCACATGGATCGTAATCCGTGTCATCTGTCTAAAGCCAAATCATCACCGTCATTTGTCACACAATCTAACGGTTCACATTCGCGTGCGCCACGATTTTCCCCTAAAATATTCAAATTTTCATCCTCCTCCAAAATCTCTAAAACTTCTCCCTCCCAAATTTCCACTATATATACACAGCTTCCCTCTTCACCACAATTCACCATCAACGCAACACATTCTCTCTCTAGAAACTGTACTTTTTCTTTCTCTAGAAGATCTGAAGCAATGGCAAGAACAAAGCAAACAGCCCGAAAATCAACAGGAGGAAAGGCGCCAAGGAAGCAATTAGCCACAAAAGCCGCAAGGAAATCAGCACCAGCAACCGGAGGAGTGAAGAAGCCTCACCGTTTCCGCCCTGGTACAGTGGCTCTTCGTGAGATCCGAAAGTACCAGAAGAGCACTGAGCTTTTAATCCGAAAATTACCTTTTCAAAGACTGGTCAGAGAAATTGCACAGGATTTCAAGACGGATCTTAGGTTCCAGAGCAGTGCTGTAGCTGCACTACAAGAAGCTGCTGAGGCTTACTTGGTGGGTCTCTTTGAGGATACAAATCTGTGTGCTATCCACGCTAAAAGGGTGACTATTATGCCCAAGGATATTCAGTTGGCTAGGCGTATTAGGGGTGAAAGGGCTTAATGTTTTGTTGTTATGTTTTCTGTGTTTAGGGTTATGGTGAATGTGGTATGTAATGCTCTTTAGTTGTTTTTTGGTTGAAATGTAATCAAAACTTTTGTTAATGAAAGTCGAAGTTTCCTCTAAATGGCAGACCGTGTTATTGGTTGAAATGTTTATTAGTATGTGTTTATTGGTCTGTTCCAAAAAAAAAAATGAACCGTTTTTAAATTTGGAAATAATTTAGTTTAAATTTATAATTTTACTTTTAATGAGAAGTTTTTATAATTACATAAATACTCTGGGCTTTTTTTAATTTGTTTAAGAGTAAAAATTCTAAATTTTTTTATTTTTTCTTAAATTCCGTATCTAGTCAATCAGGTTGATATAAATTTAGTTTATTTTGTTCAATCTATTTGACTTTTTCTTTTTCTTTATTGCTTTACGCTGTTCTGTAATTCTCTAGATGGCATAAAGCTCTACCATAAATGTAGGTATAATAGGCCAAACTCTAATGACAGATTGTTGTGTAGCATGTTAATATTGCAAAAGGACTATTGTTAGTTAATAGAATGGTGCCAAAGAATACCACATTTTGCAATACCATTAGGAATCATAAACCAGTCAATGTTAAACAGTTATCTCTATGATTGGAGATAAACAAAAATGGATTAAAAAATACGTACTAAATAGCTAACACAATACCACAATTGACCAAACCATTCTAACAGAATACAGTGGAAATCTTTCTTCTGACTTGAAGAACACTGCCTTGGCAAAACTAAGGCAGCAAGATGGTTGATAATCTGAGAATTGCATGCATCTGGATTGATCTTTATAACACAGTTTGTGCCCAAGGAAGCCAATGTTGTGGTATCTACATTTAACCCCAAAGCACAAACTCGACACTGCTTGAGATTCATCATGATGGCTAGTGCTCAAATGGGTAAATCCCCATTTCTAAATTGAGAATCATGAGCCATGGCTAAATGATACTGTTGATCTTATTGGTGTGCATCTTGGTGGAAGTTCTGTTGGGGTTATCACATATGACATAGACAGCTGATCTGAGGTTGGAATCAGAACATGTGTCAGCACCCACAGCCTATATCTTGAACTTTACTTGCCGCTTGAGCACCTGAATCTACCAGTTACAGTACTATAAAGTTGCTCAAAAGGGAAGTTCTTCAGCCAAATATAAAAAGTTAAATACTTTGTCATCTCCAAATTCTTGACAATAGGCGCTACTTATGGGTTCAAATGCCAGCATTTCCATATCCAGTGCTTCTAAAAATATAAACACCATCAACATGAGCAATAAGTACAATAAACAACAAACATATGTTTGACAACTTTGAACTAGTCTTTCATGCACTATGGAATGAAAAAGGAGTACCATTTCCCACAAGGAAAGGCAAACTGATGCGTGAGCATATCCAGGCCAAAGTTTGACAACGGCTGCTGCAAGTTGCTATCTTTTGCTGTGTCACATCCTCAACAAACTTGGTACCACTGATCGATGCCCACCTTTGCCTCCACAGGGCCAAATAATAAAGAAAATCAGGCTCCTAATGTTCCACAAGAGCTCTCTGAGAAAATTATCTACTTGCTCTCCTGATACATTTACAATTATGCACATTCATCAATAAGCACATTGAAGAGACAAAGATATGGACTGCAATGGAACAAAGGCAAAGTGTAGAAAAATCAGAGAACTAAAGAAGCACCATTATTGATTCATCTCTTTACCTTGAGCCGTAAGGCCTTATCCACTGATTGGTGAAGGACTTAGGTAAGACTAAGAGATACGGAGAAGCAGGGAGAAAGGGGTTGATGTTGCTTGGAATGGGCAGGTCCTCCTCTTTGGTGCGTTTATGGTATTAAGAAGAGAAAGCAATCATTTCCGCAAAATGCACTTTGGTCTTGCTGACTGGTAGGTCTAGCACTTTAAGATAAAAGGGGATTAGTTGCAATAGACAAATGTCAAAGTTGGCTCCATACAGCAACTGGTTGTTTCATTGTTCCAATGCAGCAAGAACTTTTGTGCCATATGCTGCTATAACTCAATATCAGGTAATTTTCCACAACACAAATGAAAAAGATATTTTTGCACAACCACCTTTTGATAAGGTAGAAGAGAAAACTAACAAAGTAACAATCTGTTTCCATATTTCCTACCTAAATGAGTTCACAAAATCCATTTGAAAATATCTACCTTTTGTTTCTGGTTGCCTCTAATAGATTGACTTGTTCCTGTAAATGGTTTAGAAACAAAGGTAGACAGGCAGACCCATTATTAAACGACAGATTTTTTGGTCATAAAAAGATTGACATAAACCAATATAATCTCTAGCTCTATTAAACCAAATCTCCCTTTATTTCCATCCCATTTGGCATAATCGCGGGGAGTTGTACTAAGATGCCGAAGGTGAAGAGATCCAATGATTTTATTCAAACTTAGGAGATCTGATATGGCCAAGTGCAGTTTCATTGTTTTGAAGACACCCTCCTACCACAGTTGGGAAAATACATTTTACAGAAAATTGTGACAAGGAGTGTCTCAACTAGAATATGTAGTGTTTATTAAGTCAAGATCTCCAAAATCCCAATACAAGAAGCAAGGTAATCAGACATCTTAGATAAAGTTGAGTATGATATTTCTATCTAAATAACAAGCGATGAGCTCCAACCATACACTACGTCAAGCTAGCATTACCTATCAGAAACCCAGTATCGAATTGGTCAGGGACTTAGGGCATGAGTATTGAACATAACCCATCCCTCTAGTCTTCCAACTGTACATATGAGCTAATTAAAATGGTCATATGAAGACTCCACGAGTCATGACACAATTAAGACTTTACAGTTCTTCAAAGACAATTCAGCAGATCGCAAGTCCCAGGAATAAATTTGAAGTAGCAAATAAGGATATAAAAAATTGAAGGACAGCACAAGAAATCTGCACCGATGTCTTTAATCCTCTAAGCTTCCTTTATCTCAACTTGTGATATTTACTCTCCAATTTATCAGCTAGAAAGCTGCAAAAGATGAAACTCTCAATAGGAATTAAGTATTCATTTAAGCATCAAGGATCCAGTTTTTTTTTGAAAAATAAAAGCATTGCAACTTAGCTGAGGATGTTTTCCACTAAAAAATTATACTTTTTGAATAAACATCAAAATAAACATACGCCTTAAAGGAAACTGAGTGCAGTAACACATTTTTAATGCTTCCCATAATCTTAAAACCCCAATACCAATCAACAGATTATACTTTGATCAGTAAATTGTGTCTTTCCAGATGATGATATCCATACTGCTAGTAGCGGATAGACACACACACTTTGCCAAAGAACTGAAATACTTTCACTTTCAGTGTCAAAAAGGGCCCAAGAAGGATAAACAGTGGATCCTACATGATATCCACAGCTTGCCTTAGATGTACCTATTTTGTACTTGATACTCATTTAAAATCAGTAATTGCTTTGAGCTTTCTTAATCATCGCTTATTCATCCAGAATGTTATTTGTTCAGTGTTCACTAAATGAACAATGTTAACTTATACAAGAATTTGTCACATAATGTATCAGTCTGTTTCAACATTATTGCTTAACAAATTATAATACTGACTTATCTTTCAAAATGACATCATTGTACCCAAATATTCTTACAAAACAAGCGATCAACTGTTCCTGTATCACTTCTTCAGCAGGAAGCTCTACATCTGCCTCTTTCTTCAAAGATGTAACATCTTTATCCGCAATCCCGCAAGGCACAATATGCTTAAAGTAGTTTAAATCAGGATCCATGTTGAATGCTAATCCATGAGACGTAATCCCAGATGAAATTCTAACTCCAATTGCACCAATCTTTCTGTCCTCGACCCAAACCCCTGTTTCGCATCTTTTTCCAACCTGTGCTTTCACACCATATATAGATGCTAATTCAATCATGGTTAGCTCAAGCTTCTCCACATATTTTCGAGCCCCCAAACCAATATCTCTCAATGAAACAATCGGATACAAGATCGCCTGGTGAGGACCATGAAAAGTAATGTCACCTCCTCTTTGTGTATAGTGAAGTTCAGCCCCCACGGCTTTGAGCTCCGAATCAGGTATGAGTAGATTGTGAACTGTTTGCCTTTTGCCAAGAGTATAAGTAGGTGGATGTTGAAGAGATAATAGGGTATCAGTAATTTTAAGAGCTTTTCTATCAGATGCTAGCTTCTCTTGCAGCTTCAGTGCCTCCAAGTAATTGACGGTGCCCATTTTCCAAACCTCAAGGCTTCGCCTCATTCTTCTGTAAATCATGGAACAATCAGTCATTCATGTGAATTCAGTAAACACCAATGCCACAAACAAAACTAGGAATCCCCTATTTGTTGCAGAGTCCAAGTATGAATTTAAGTCAGGCATGAAAGTGGCAACCGTTAGCAGTAATAAAAGTGCTACAAACTGACAAGCATGAGAAGCACAATAAGAGAGCGGTGCTCCTATTGTGGCGGCAAGAGTAGCCTCTGAGGACACAATTCAAACTTGATTTATTTTCACATAGTAAAGACAAGGATGATAGCTACTAGAAAATCGATGAACTAGGCACCAAATAATATAACATAAGGGGATGAAACTAAGAGTATAACATGAGAGGATATGGAAAATTCAATATGTGAACTGGAGATGTCCTTCTCAATCTCGGTTGCTTTGAGACCTGGAAAGTTTAGCTTTTATACCTCAGATAATCTCTCAACATCAAAATGAAAGGTTAATAAATAAATTGAGCACACACCCTCAGATGAACTGTCCTGGTTGACAGCAAAAGAACATAATAAATTAGCAGTCAGCTATATATGGTCAATAAATCCTAACTTTTCACAAATTCCCACTTGCCATTTTCTAGTTACCAATTAGATGTAAAACCAATACACTTCTTGTACTGCCCTTGAAAACATATGAGTCAATTTGTAGAATATCCCATTACTTAATTTTGTAGAATTACATCGAAATATCCACCAACAAAGGATCTTTTTCTTTTTCTTGCCATTTAAAGCCTTCTGATGGAGTTATATTTTTTGAGGATTTCTTGGGCAATAAGGTAAAATTTTCCATACATTTCTAATTGTGAACGAGAGAGAAGTATACATTCTTCAGTC